TTTTCTTGGTTTTAGGTCTATTATTAAGTTAATGTTTCCATAAGTATTAATTAGGGATGAACAGAGGAGTAAGGTTTAAACAAAGTAATTCTCTTAGATACCATTTTGATTTGACATGAAGCAGAATTTGACACAAGGTTTTGAATGGACTTTTGTAGAATTGTAGTGTTCTTATACTTTGTAGACATTTAAGTAATTTTTTTTTTTTTTGGTTTTTCAAGACAGGGTTTCTCTGTGGCTTTGGAGCCTGTCCTGGAACTAGCTCTTGTAGACCAGGCTGGTCTCGAACTCACAGAGATCCACCTGCCTCTGCCTCCCGAGTGCTGGGATTAAAGGCGTGCGCCACCATCGCCCGGCGACATTTAAGTAATCTTATGTGTATTCATGTGTGTGTAGATTTGGATCTCATGATTTTGTTTATTTTATTATTTTGGTGTTTTAAATGTTGTTGTTATGTATCTGTGTTGTTGTATCTGTGCACATGGAGGCCCGGAGGAGGTGTCAGATCCCCTGGAGCTGAAGTTATAGACAGCTTACAGTACTAGGAATTGAACTCAAGTCCTCTAGAAGAGTAGCATGTTAATGGTTAAGTAGCTCTTAACCATTTCTCCAGCCCTATTTTGGCATTTTTGAGACTGAGTCTCACTTAGTCTAGGCTGACCTTGAACTGACTGAGTAGCTGAGAATGACCTTGAATTCTTGATTATCTTGCTCCCACCTCCCAAGTGGGAGCACTTGCCACCATGCCACTTGACATGTGCCACCATGCCAGCTGAAAGTTGTTGCGTTTGTGTTTGTGGTACTAGGTACGCAAGGCCTTGTTGTATCCCGGGCAAGTGGAGCTCTACTTTCAGCCACTCTACTAGTCCACTTAATAGGATATGTTTTGCCTTTTGCTAAAGTGGACTAATTATTTCACTGTAATCTTGAAGGTATTTATATTATCATTTTCTGGAGATCAAACCTAGGGCTTTTGACATACTGGCTAATTTTTTTCTACCAACTGACCTACATTGCCAGTCTATAAGATAATGATGAATCTAGATGATATAACTAAATATAGTCATGCATCTAAGAGTTCATGGAAACTAGCTGGTAAAATTATGTAATGGTGGGTAAAAATATATAGGTGGGGCAGGAGAGATGGCTCAGGTCTTCCAGAGGACCCAATTTCAAATTCCAGTACCAATGTCAGGCAGTTCACAGCCACCTGTAACTCCAGCTCCAGGAGAATGCAATAAGCCTCTAGGCTCTGAAGGTACCTGCACTGATGTGCACACCCCATATTTGAAATTAAAAATAATAAAAACATATCTTTAAAAATGCAGCTTTTAGTCAGTTATTGTGTTTCTGATTTGTGGCTTAGAACAGCCATTGAAATTGGTGAAGGTCTAAAGATACATACCACCCACTAAAAAATGGTAGAGGGAGCTTGGGTAAGCAGATTAGGTTTTTCAGACATAGCCCATCAGACAGAGGGCTACCTTGTTAAGGTTCAGAGGAGGAAACCTATACAAAGTAGATAGCAAGATTATAGAATTCATTATTTCTCAAAATACAAATAGTATTCCAAAGTACTTAGACTAATTACAGAAGGCGATTAGTCGGTAATAAGATTATTGGTACCTGTGAATTGTTTTTCTGTTTTGCTTTTTTATTTATTCATGCACTATTTATCCATTCATTCATTCATTCATTCATTCATCATCAGAGTCTTGATTCTGTAGTAAAGGTTGGTCTAGAACTCCCTATGATATAACTGGGGTGGGGTTGGGCACCTGAATTTAGGACCATCTTCCTGCCTCAGTTTCCCAGGTGCTAGGATTACAGGTGTGTGTTACTGTGCCTGCTACATGAGAGGCTTTGAGGATTACTATCAGCCTGTGCTTAAGGCCACTAGAAGATAACCATACTTTTCCAAAGCATCAGTCACTGATTGAGGGACAGCACTAACTCAAGTAGATCGTGGAATTGTCCCAGTTTAGCCAGTCATTACCTTATTGGCAGACCTTTCAGTTCATCCAGTGAATGCCAGTAAACAATACAGAGTCAGTTTATCAGTAAAACTAACTACTAATTCTGGAAACCAATATACATGGTAATTCTTTGGAATATTTAATAAAATTTTACTTTGTAGGATTTAATTTAAGGTTCTTTCACCCACATAACAGTTTGGGATGATAAACGTGACTCATATTGCCATTATCTCTGCTTGTTATTGACTGATAGATTCTTTTTTTTTTTTTGCAGGGTGAGGTTGAATGTTTATTCAGGGGGTTATGGAGGAGGAAGGGTGAAGGGGGGGGGACAGAAAGGGAGAGGGAGGGAGAGAGGGAGAGAGAGAGAGAGAGAGAGAAGAGGAGAAAGAGACAGAAGGGGAGAAGCAGAGAAGTGGGGAGAGAGGCAGAAGCAAAGCTGCCTCTCCGAGAGGAAGATGGAAAAGAGGACTGATAGATTTTTTTTTTTAAGTTTTTTTTTTCGAGACAGGGTTTCTCTGTGGTTTTGGAGCCTGTCCTGGAACTAGCTCTTGTAGACCAGGCTGGTCTCGAACTCACAAAGATCCGCCTGCCTCTGCCTCCCAAGTGCTGGGATTAAAGGCGTGCGCCACCACTGCCCGGCGACTGATAGATTCTTACTGTCTGTTGAGCATGTCCTCCTGCTGAATGGACTGGTGAGTCGGACTAGCAGCACAGTTGAGCTGCTAATAAAACGCAGAGTCAGCCGCTTTTCATTACTCGCCCACTCAGCTCTGATGGTACTTAATACTAATGAGTAATGTAGTGGCAGGTGCAGGACTGAGGCTATGGTTGGATGGTAATCCTTCTGCCTAGGCATGAAATGAAATCAAGGTTTCTAAATAAGCCTGAGAGCCAAAGGGTAGGTTTGTTGACATGTAATCACTTGCTAAGTGCAGTGCTGTTTTTCCTGCTGTGGAAAATTTCTGGTCCTTGATACAGGAATGATTCATCATAACCTTGAATAAAACAGTTGAATAAATATTCAATCATTTTTTCCTACGGGTGACATTTGGAGAGGAGAGAGGCTCTAGAAAGGTCTTGTAGTCTTGTGTTTGAAACTGATGAGGCCAAATGCATTTGAAAGAATGTTAGACAATAGTGTCACAGATCTCCCAGCCAGAACTGGAGCAGCAGCTGATAGCAAAACACATATTTTTGCAGTCAAAGATAGTATTCAGACTTAGGAAGAGCAATAAATTATGTAAATATCTTATAAGTTCTGGTTGGATTTGTCCCCCTCGGGCTCCTTTTGTATTTTCTGGGAATTAGAATAGGAGGAGTTGGGAGCCTGTGCTTAAGTTTAAGTGCTGCATTAAACTGACAAGAAAATGGCAGCGCTAGATGTGTAGAAGTGATGTTGGGATTTTGTTTTTTTTTTTTTTGAGAAAACAATATAATTAATACTACTATCTCTGGGTTTATAGGATTTGTACTGTGTTCGTAGTGACCTGGGGAACCTGCTCAAAGCCCTGGGTCGCTTGGAAGAAGCCAAGGTAGGTGTTTGCTAGAACATACTTAAGCATTAGTTTTGAAAACCTGTACCTTTTGCCAAGTCTTCAACTCTTCATTAAGCTATCTTCATAAAATAGTCCTATGAAACTGAGGAAAACGTCAGCATGACTTGCCTCAGACTAGAGCAGGACCAGGCTTTGGCATATCTGTTCTAAATCTGGGGGTAAAGCAAGAACATGAGCATTGTGGAGCCTTCTGCTGAGCTAGATCATCTTTATAACAATGGGCTCCATCATGACCTATGTGGGAATCAATAACATTCCTTCAAATCTGAGGCTTGCCTGCTAGTGATTTTTGGCTCAAGACGCCTATATAATGCAGGTGCCATTGAAAACGCTGCTCTTCTAAGTCCTTTGTGGCTTGTAAGTGGAGAAGAATTTCATCCAATGTTACCCTGTAATACTGGCATTTAAAATTCTTATTTAACCTTCCTCCCTTCATCTTCCTCACCCTTTTTACAGTGGAAGAAAGGCTGTTAAAATATTGCAAATTAATAATTGGAACTCCTGCTCCTCTTGTCTCCACTTCCTCCCCAAATTCCTCCTTTTTCCCCAATCCTAGTTGTCTACCTTCTTTTTCTTCCTCACTTCCTTCTTTTATCCCTCCCCACCCACCTCCTTAAAAAAAAATGAGGACAAAGCTGGTTTGTTTGGAAATGGACTGATCGAAAGAAAACTTGCCAAAGTGGAAAGGTGGCTTTTAGCATTCTGTGTTTCCAAATAATGAATTTGAACTCTAGGTTGGGTTAATTAAAGCTTTTGGTATAATTTACAATTAAATTTATAAATGCAGTTGTCTTGTTACAAGCCACCTTACGCAATCGCGCTGCAGGGGTGAGGAGTGGGGAGAAACCAGAATGCTTCTGAAACTCCCACCTGTTGCTCTGAGCCCCACGCGCATGCTAATGCGTGGAGTGTATGCGCAGCGTAGCTGTCTGTTTGTTCATCCAGGGAGGGAGAAGGCTTTGCAGCACCACTTAATGTTAAAAGCACTAGTTTTAAGTGCAAAAATTCTACCAACACTATGGATTAACCTTATGTAGGTTTCCAGCTGATTAACTATGTTGATTTCAATCTTAGCTGATAAAGCAATTGGTAATTTCTAGAACAAATATCTGATATGCTCCTATCAATTGTCACTCCACCAAGCGGACAGCTAACATGAATTGCACTTCACTGCAGCTTTAGACATCGATTTAGGCTGAGACGTTGCGCCTGCCTTAGGTTGCTGACTTCTTTATTTCAGAGCTCTGGAGACACCTAGTTTGAAAAATGTCATTCTGGTTTTTTTTTTTTTTTGGTTTTTATTTTTGTTTTTGTTTTTTGTTTTTTTTTTTTTTTTGTGAGAACTTAGTAAACCAGAAAATACTCTTGAGTGAAATGCAATGTGTTTCTTTTGTAATCAGTGCATTTGAAAATTCAAGCCAGCATACATTCCTAGTAGATGGCAGCAAAATTAAGTTGTCTTTGTAGAAAATGAAGAGCCTTTCTTCCAGCAAAAATCCCTGCTGTATGCAATAGCCCTGATTAACCCTCTCCCTTCTGCATGTTTCCCATGTTACAGACTTGAGACTGTCCTCATTCCCATATGTAATAGACATCCAAAGAATTTCAATTGCTTTGTTGAACTTTTACTAATGATCTTGTTTTTATTTTCTCTCTTGTTTTTGGTTTTTCACCATTGATATTGTATTTAGAAGGTTTCAGGTGGGTGAAACCTCCTATTCCATGCGTAAGGTGCCTCGCTGAAGGGAGCTCGAGGCCTGGATCTAGGGCAGACACACAACCTCCTCCTCCTCCTCTTCCAGCAAGGAACGCACCGAAAAGTCACATGATGAGAAATATGGTAACGGGTTTGTAACTGCCACAGCAAAACAATTTGCCTCCATGCCTGAATCTTCTGTCTTGTGGCTTCAGAAACAGCTTAAAATAATTTTATTTACAAGTTATGTAAAAGAATGTTTTATACTATAGCCACAATTCTGTCAAAAATAAGTAAAACTTAATTAAGATAATAAAATTATTAGATAATTTACTAGTAAAAGCTTCTAACTCTTCTTGTTGTTCATTTTTTTTCCTTTTTCTTCTTTGTTTGGATTGCAGCATTCTGCTCTTCTGATGATGCGCTGTGACCCTGCAGTAGCGCAAAGGCTGCGCAGCGTTAATGCGCATTGCGTGCGAATGAGCCCCTGTGAACGGTTGACTAGATGAGTAATCTGATTGACTGGCTCTCTCAGTCCTATTCTGTAGCCTTTTTGGATAAAATTGGGTTTTAACATACCTCGAGTCCAACTAATCTCATTAAGCAAATATTCTCTACGGGCCTGTCTAGTAGATTAATGGATCTGGTTGGCCGTTTGCTGCGTCTAGGGGTGTTCCATGGAGCGCAGCAGTTCGCAGCGTTTGCGCAGTGCGATGCTGTTAGGTGGCGCCAGCGATGTTTGCGCTTGCATTACAGGGACCTCAACCTAGGTGCATTCCTGTCATGTGAGGTTTTATTTTCTTCCTCCTCAGAAGAGAGGCATGTGCTGTGAGTCTGCAGATTCTGAAACTTGAAGTCTGAATGATGACTGACTTGGCAGAAACATTTTTGTATGGCTCAGTAGCTTAATTTTAATCTTAAGGAAGGAGAACATTATGTTGTGAGAAGCATTTCCGTCAACTCTTTTGGTTTCCTAATGCTTGATTAGAGGTTGAAGGCTTTGGGAAGTTATCTAGGAAACTTTTTGTTGTTTGCTTTGTCTCCTCCCCCACCCTCCAACTCACTTTGTAGCTGAGGATGATCTCAAGTTTATGATCTCCTGCCTCCATCTTCCGAGTGCTCAGATTACAGGCCTGTGCCCCCCATATCCAGTTTAAGAAACCTGTTTTCTATTTTCCTGTTATTTGATTATAAAATTGGGTGCCTTTTTTGGTGTTGCTTTTTTCTGTGATATGTCTTAGCATTTCACAGAACACATTTTGGGAAATGTGGGTTGGGGAAGCCTAGATTTCATGGTGCCCTGTCAAGTATCATCAGTCTCTAGAGCCCATAGGTGTTCAGATAAGAGGAGTATAGCGTTAGTGTTTAGCAGCACCCAACCTCCCAGATGAGTCCTATTATGAGGATTACTCTTTGGTTGGCAGAACTGAACATGGTGGTTTGCACTTGGGTTCTGGTGGCGCAGGCGCAGGAGCAGCCAGCTGTGGCAGCGCATTAGTTTTGGCGCAAGCGAGCCTATGCTGCAGGGTCACTTTTGGCTGGTCAGGGAAGAAATAATGATATCACCTTCTTCCCCCTCCCCAATCTTTTTTTTTCCCCTTTACAAATTTCCCCCTTTCCCCTTATCTCCTTCCCTTCTCGTCTTCTTTCATTAAACCCTCCTAAGGCATGTTATTTGAAAGCAATTGAGACGCAACCAAACTTTGCAGTAGCTTGGAGTAATCTCGGCTGTGTTTTCAATGCACAAGGGGAGATTTGGCTAGCAATTCATCACTTTGAAAAGGTTAGTCATTAATAATTGATATTTATAAAATGTTTATGTGTACAGAATGTTCTTACTAGAATAAAACAGTAGGCATTTGCTTAAGCAGCTGTGTAATATTGTTTCCTTGATAGTATTGCAGCATTTGCAGGTGGCATATAATATGACAGGTTTTTGAGATTTATATTGAAAATGCTTTTTTATTTATTATAATTTTTTTTCTTTTGAGAGTGGGTTTCACTCTGTATAGAATGGCTTGGAATTTACTTTGTGTCTCAGGTTGGCCTTCAACCTAGTGGCAGTCCTTAAGCCTCCTGAGTGCACAAGTGAACTACCACATCTGGCTTTAAAATGACTCTGTTTTTCCTCAGAGTGAAGCGATAGTACGGCTTATAGAGGGATGTTTGCCACATGAGGGAGAATACTGGAGGGTTCAGAGTATCCTGCTGAAAAAGCTGTTTCCAAGTCTAGAATAGGACACACTGCAGCATTGTCTGGAATAACTTGTCATACCAGAAGGCAAGGAAGTATCTATTCACTTATTCATACACTTGACTTTCTCTTTTTTTCCGAGACAGGGTTTCTCCATGTAGCTTTGGAGCCTGTCCTAGAACTCGCTCTGTAGACCAAGCTGGCCTCCAACTCACAGAGATCTACCTATCTCTGCTTCCCAAGTGCTGGGATTAAAGATGTGTGCCACCACTACCTGGCTATCTTTATTTATTTATTTTTTTTTTAAAAAGGGCCCAATAGCTAAGTAAGGCTTTCAGTTTAACTCTTTAAAGACTCATTTACTTTTATGTGTGTGAGTGGAAGTATGTCTGTCACCATGTGTGTGTGCACTGCAGAGGCACTAGAGCTGGAGTTACAGATTGTGATCCACCATGTGGGTGCTGTGAGCTGAAACAGGGTTGGTTTTTTTTTGGGGGGGGTGTTTCGAGACAGGATTTCTCTGTAGCTTTGGAACCTGCCCTTGGAACTATAGTCTTTGAGAAGCTAACTTAATAGCTAAGGGGTTTAAGAGCATTAGCTGTTGTTCCAGAGGGTCCAGGTTCGATTATCAACACCCACATGGTAGTATATGACCTCTTGTAACTCCAGTTTCAGGGGATCTGAAGCCCTCTCTGTCTTCTGAGGGTACCAAGCACACATGTAAGTAGAAGAGATACATGCAGACAAAACACCCATACATATTAAAAAAAAAAAAAAGTTGAGCTGGTCTTAGTGGCACATGCCTTTAATCCTGCAGAGGCAGGCAGATTTCTATGAGTTCGAATCTACCCTAGTCTACATAGTGAGTTCCAGGACAACCAGAGTCACATAGTGAGACCCTGTCTCTATAAAACAAAAACAAGAAACGAACCAACTAACCAAAAAAAGTTTCTAGGATATGTATGGAGCAGATAGACATGTTAAAAGATAGCTGAGGGGTTTCATCAGCAAAAATGTCAACTATGAGCTGATAGGACACTGATCTGAGTTTTCTTTTCAGCAAGGTGCAGGACTAAAAGATGTAAATTAAATCTGGATGATTGAAAGAGATAGGTACTTCTTTTAGTACATTGCCTACTGCTCTTGTTACATTATTCTAAATAAAGTTGCTTTTATTCTTTTTTTGTTTCTTTTGAGACAGGGTTTCTCTGTAGCTTTGCAGCCTGTCCTGGAACTTGCTTTGTAGACCAGGCTGGCCTTGAACTCACAGAGATCCACCTGTCTCAGCCTCCCAAGTACTGGGATCAAAGACCTGTGCTACCACCACGCAGCTGGCTGCTTTTTTGTTTTTACAATTTTTTTTTTCGAGACAGGGTTTTTCTGCAGCTTTTGGAGCCTGTCCTGGAACTAGCTCTTGTAGATCAGGCTGGCCTTGAACTCACAGAGATCCGCCTGCCTCTGCCTCCCTAGTATTGGGATTAGAGGTGTGCGCCACCACTGCCCGACAAAATTTTGGTGTTTTTTTTTTTTTTTTCCCCCGAGGCAGGGTTTCTCTGTGGTTTTGGAGCCTGTCCTGGAACTAGCTCTTGTAGACCAGGCTGGTCTTGAACTCACAGAGATCCGCCTGCCTCTGCCTCCTGAGTGCTGGGATTAAAGGCGTGCGCCCCCCCCCCCCCCACTGTCCGGCCTACAAAAAGATTCATTTGGCGATGTATTTGTGTACTTGCCTGCACATGTGTGCAGATAACTCATGGAGGCTAGACGAGGGTGTGGGATCCCCTGGCTGGAGTTAATAAGCTCTTGTGTGCCACCTGACATGGGTCATGGGAACCAAACTCAGTTCTCTGAAAGACCAACAAGCATCCTTAACCATTGACCTATCTCCCTATGTTTTCTTTTTTGTAAGCATTTAAAAAAATATCCAGGTGCCACATGACTTTAGTCCAAGCATTCAGAAGGCAGAGGCAATCATCTCTGTGAGTTCAGGTATATGTATAGTCCTGTCTTTAATCCCAGCTCCAGAGAGGAATTTAAAATGGGAGGAGACAGCTCTCACACACAATCTCATTCTGAGATTCCTGGAGGCAGGATTGCCATTTTCAGACTGAGGTAGAGATGAATGCCAGTGGCTGGCTGTTTAGCTTTTTTTTTTTTAATGGTTTTGGAGACAGGGTTTTGCTGTAGTTTTAGAGCCTGCCTTGGAACTAGCTCTTGTAGGCCAGGCTAGCCTTGAACTCACAGAAATATGCCTGCCTCTGCCTCCCAAATGCTGGGATTAAAGGCGTGTGCCACCACCACCTGGCTCTGTTTTGCTTTTCTAATCTTCAGGGTGAACCCTATTAGCACTCTCTCTCTCTCTTTTAAATTAATCATGCTGCAGACAGGGTTTCTTTGAGTAGTCTTGGCTATCCTAGAACTAAGTTCTGTCGACCAGGCTGGCCTCTGAGTACTGGCATTAAAGGCGTGCACCACCACTGCTTGGATTTACTTTTTAATTATGTGTTTGTGTGTGGTTGTGTGTTCGAATGTGCAGGTGCCATTGGAGGCCAGAAAAAAGTGTTGGGTTTCCTGAAGTTATAAGTGATTGTTGAGCCTCCTGCTAGAAATTTAAGAATTGAACTCTGGTCCTCTTAACTTCTGAGCTGTCTCTTCACCCCACTTACATGCCTGTCTCTGCCTCCTTCGTGCTGGTATTAAAGGCACTTGCCACCAAGTCCAGTTCATTTTTTAAGATAATGATAGTGTGGTATGTTTGAGTGAGAAAACATTCTTGTCACCTCCCTAGAATTTATAATTTTTTTTGTTTTTTTTCGAGACAGGGTTTCTCTGTAGCTTTGGTGCCTGTCCCAGAACTAGCTCTTGTAAACCAGGCTGGCCTCGAACTCCCAGAGATCCACCTGCCTCTGCCTCCTGAGTGCTGGGATTAAAGGTGTGTGCCACCACTGCCCGGCTAGAATTTATAATTTTAAATGGGATGAGATGTTTGAGATTTGCTTCAAAATTATCTGGCGGAAAGGGGAGTAGATACATAATAAATGAAAGCCAGCATGATTGTTGAATTTATAAAGATGATGAGCCATGACATGTGTTTGTTGCCTACAAGAAATTTTTAAGAGGGCCAGGTGTGATTTATGCCTATTAATCTTAGCACTTGGGAGGCTGAGGCAGGAGGATTGTTGTGAGTTCTGGGCCACACTGGGCTACAAAGTAAATTCTAGGATAGTAATAGAGTTAGACCTTTCCTCAAAGCAAAAGTTAAAGTTTTCAGGCTAGATATCTATGACTATAGATAATCTAAGCTAAGTGTGTCATGCCTTTATCTGATAGAGACTTGTTTATTATCTATATAAAGAAGTGTTTCTAGGAATTTTTAAAATATTTAAAATTATTACATTTATCTTTTCAGTGTTTTGGTTAAATTTATACTTACCATTCTAGAGGGATATTTTTCTAGAGCTCTTGGTATAGGTATACTAGGCTAGCATTCTACCAATGAGCACCAGACTATCATTTGCTTATTTGGAGAAAGTGTCTCATATATCCCCAGGCTGCCTTCAGACTCACTTTGTAGTTGAAGATGACGTGAACGCCACATCTTCCTACTTCCACCTCCCAACTGCTTGGATTAGAGGCTGTGCCTTGCTTGGCTTAATGTTACAGTTCTAATTACATATCTTAGTAAGGACTTGCTGGGTCGTGTGTTTATGTAACAGAGTTACATACTTAAGAGCTCATTGCTTGTTTCTGCCCCCATCTTTTAGAAATGTTAGCCTGACTGACTGAATAAAATTGGGCCAATCATTAGAAATAGTCTGCTTGTATGCTGCTTCATTCCTTTAATTCCAGCGTTTGGGAGGCAGAGGCAGGTGGATCTTTGAGTTTGAGGCAGCCTGGCCAGAGCTACATAGTGAAACCCTGTTTCAAAGAACAGATAAAAGGGGGCCAGGCCGTGGTGGCGCGCTCACTCAGGAGGCAGAGGCAGAGGCAGAGGCAGAGGCAGAGGCAGAGGCAGAGGCAGGTGAATCCCTTGTGAGTTCGAGGCCAGCCTGGTCTACAAGAGCTAGTTCCAGGATAGCTAGGACTGTTACACAGAGAAGGCCTGTCTCAAAAAACCAACCAACCAACCAAACAAACAAACAGATAAAAGGAAGGAAGTACTGTGCTTAGTTAAGTTGAGTTTATTTTGCTCATGAGGTTTTCCTTTCTTGTGATTCAGGGAATGGAGTCTAGTAGGAAGTGCTTTGTCACTGGGCTACATGCCTAGCCCCTTTCTCCAGTTATTTTGATATTAATGAGGCTTATCGATGAAAGGGAACTAAATGAGGACTGTTTTTAAAAACAAAATGAGTTTTCTAGAAAATGTAATTGGATATCTAAAATGACTTTAGAATAAAAGCTTAATGAGAAGTTAATCTGACAAAAGCCTTTCTTTTTCTAAGTAACTGTCTTGTAATTTTTAGGCTGTCACCCTTGACCCAAATTTTCTGGATGCTTATATCAATTTAGGAAATGTCTTGAAAGAGGCACGCATTTTTGACAGGTGAGAATGTTCTGTTTGATGAATTTTCTTGTCTTTTCAGAGTTTGAACTAAAATGTGACAACAGCTTCTTGAAGTACATTTTCCTAGAGTATAGTTTTTCCCTCCTGATAGCTGTTTTCTTCTGTTTTACTTATAGATGTTGTTGGCTGACTTTTCCTTGTTGGTTTTCCTGAATGCTTTTATCCTTCCACTTAGTTCTGTTGAAATTTCCTTTATTGTAAACTGTTAGAAATGATGATTACCTTTTGGGCTAAGTTTGTTTTTTTGTTTTTTGTTTTTTTTTGTTTTTGATTCAGAAAGCTAAGTAAAACTTGACTTTAACTGTTTTGTTGAAGAAACTGCTTTTCTAATTGTGTGTGTTTGTGAGAGGGGCTATATGCACATTGGAGTCTATCCAGAAGAAGACATTGGGTGTCCTTCTCAATCCTGTTATTTTGCCACCTTCTGCCTTTGAGGCAGTTTCTCCTGGAGCCTGGGGCTCACATCTGGGCTAGGTTTGCAGTGTAAGCCTCAGTGGTCCTCCTGCCACAGCCCCTCCACCCAGTGTTGAAGTTGCATATATGTACATGACCATTAAGCTTGGTAGATGGGGGCAGGAATCCAAACTCAGGTCCTCATAATTACACACCAAGCACTTTGATCACCGATCAGCTTCCCAGCCCTGTGATTTTAAAATTTTATGTATATGGGTGTTTTGCCTGCATGTATGTCTGTGAACTATGTGCAGAAGTTGGAAGAGGTATCAAATCCTCTAGAATTGGAGTTGCAGATGGCTGTTAGCTACCATTTGGGTTCTAGGATTCAAATCACAGTCTTCTGGAAGAGCTGCCAATGCTCTTGTCCTCTGAGCCATTTTTTCTAGCACTTGACTTTTAACTTTTTTTTTTTTAAAGATTTTATTTGTTGTGTATACAATGTTCTGCCTGCATGACAGAAGAGGACACCACATCTTACAGGTAGTTGTGAGCCACCATGTGGTTGCTGGGAATTGAACTCAGGACCTCTGGAAGAACAGCCAGTGCTCTTAACCTCTGAGCCATCTCTCCAGCCCCGACTTTTGACTTTTTTTGTCAAAGGAAAATGTACATCTTGAGTGGGAATAGACAACTGTTTTCCTGTGAAAATGTTTTATAGCCTGGCACTTGGGAGTCTGAAGCAGAAGGACTGCTGTGTGTTCAAGGCCTAACTGGGGTATAGAGCAATACTTTCTCTTAAAAAAACTTAACAGGGGCCTGCCTGGCTGTAGTTGCTTTCTCCTGTAATACCAGCTCTTGAGAGGCCAAGGGAAGAAGGGCTTGCTCAGACTTTCAAGCCAGCCTAAGCTATAGGGTAAAACCTTGTCTTAAAAAACAAGTGGCTCAGCCGGGTGGTGGTGGCGCACGTCTTTAATCCCTGTACTCGGGAGGCAGAGGTAGGTGAATCTCTGTGAGTTCGAGGCCAGCCTGGTCTACAAGAGCTAGTTCCAGGACAACCTCTAAAGCTACAGAGAAACCCTGTCTCGAAAAAACAAAAAAACAAAAAACAAAAAAACAAAAAAAAAAAAGTGGCTCTTGGTGGTACACGCCTTTAATCCCAGAGGCAGGTAGGTATCTGAGTTCAAGGCCAGCCTAGTCTATAGCTTGTTCCAGAACAGGTTCCAAAGCTATACAGAGAAACCCTGTCTCGAAAAACCAAACAACAACAAAAACAAACTGAACCACACACTCAAAAGTGGAGGGCCGAGAAATTTGCTCAGTGGTAGCGCCCTTGTTTAGCATGCACGAGGCCCTAGGTTCAGTTCTTGGCACCCCAAAAAATATATTTTATAAAGGTGATATTTTTGTTATGCAGTAAAATATATCATAAGTTAATTGTTATTAGTTAATGGCATTTTTGGTATAGTATATCTGGAATTAATTGTAACAAAATACACATTCAAGTTAGTTGGATTTGGGCAGGTGAGATGGTTCAGTGTGTAAAAGTGCCTGGCATGCAATCATATTGACCTGAATTTGATCCCTGGAACCCGTAGTGGAAGGAGAGAACCAACTTCAGAAAGTTGTTTTCTGGCTTCCACATGTGTACCGTGGTTTTTGCCATTTACCAATCTGTTCATGTCATAGACAAACTTATAATAATAATATATTTAATATTAGTGGCATTTGTGTATATGAGTTTGTATGTTTTTGCTTTTCACAGAGCTGTAGCAGCTTATCTTCGTGCCTTAAGTTTGAGCCCAAATCATGCGGTGGTGCATGGCAATCTGGCTTGTGTGTACTACGAGCAAGGCCTAATAGACTTGGCCATCGATACCTACAGACGAGCTATAGAACTGCAGCCACATTTCCCAGATGCTTACTGCAACCTAGCAAATGCACTCAAAGAGAAGGGCAGCGTAAGGATTTTCAGTCTATTTTTATTTCTTTGTTACATGGTAGAAAAGTCTTCATTGTACATATTAAGTAATATTGGTTTTCTTTGGAGTTTTGGTTGATGGGAAGGAGAATACTGAAAAGTATCCATTTTGTGGTGTATTTACCAGCCATTAGGCTCAAAATGATGCAGTTACTTAAATTACTAGAACATAAGTGGTTTCTCTGATTCTTCTCTGTAGTATCTGAATGATTTGTTTTATTTTCCAGGTTGCTGAAGCAGAAGATTGTTATAACACAGCTCTTCGTCTATGTCCTACCCATGCAGACTCTTTGAATAACCTCGCCAATATCAAACGGGAACAGGGCAATATTGAAGAGGCGGTCCGCCTATATCGCAAAGCATTAGAAGTATGTTGAGTACTGTGACTGGGTGTCTAGCCTGTTTGACGGTAGAGGGAAAGCAATTAAGTTTGCCTGCTGTTCACCTCTTCATTTCCTATGTAAGGTCCTATGACAATGCCAGACGTCCCTACATTGAGTTCATTACTTTGTGCATAGATGAGATCTGGACAAAGCCAATGACTAGTAAACTGAGTAAAGCTATTAAAATGAAGAGCTCAGGTCAGTGTCTAGTGATTGGTAGGTGTGGTAGGAGTTTAGAAAAGAGGCTGCATTACTCAGTGTGAGTAACAGGAAGAGAGGCCTACTTCACATTTCAAATGAACATAGGTATAAAATGGAGGAAGCAGTAGAATTTAAGCTACTAGACCCGAAGAATGAGTAAACTTGGAAAAAGAGTTGTGGGAGATAATTGGGAGATTCTGCTATTTAATGTCAGCCGTGATCGTGACTCTCTAGGTCTTCCCAGAGTTTGCTGCTGCACATTCCAACTTAGCAAGTGTACTGCAACAACAGGGGAAGCTGCAGGAAGCACTGATGCATTATAAGGAAGCCATACGGTAAGAAGTTTATAGCTTCTTTTTTCTATTTTCAGTTTTGAGATTATAGTATAATTACATCATTTCCCCTTCCCTTCCCTGCAAAACCTTCCCATATACTTCTCCTTGCTCTCAAATTCATGACTTCCTCTTCCATTAATTCTTGCGAGATGTATATATATATATATTTATTTATTTATATGCAGATATGTTTCTAAACATAATTTGTTATGTATAATGTTACTCAGATGTATATTTTCAGGTCTGACCATTTGGGATTGGATAACCAATTGGTGTACTCTTCCCTGGGGAAGAATATTTCTTCTGCTCTCAGCATTCCTTAGATGCCCTGTAGTTCTTTGTGTTGGACTGAGGCTTGCCCTAATCCACTTCAGCATCCTATCCCCTCCCCTCTTCTCTTCTTCCTCCCCTCTTCTACCCCCTCCCCTTCCCTTCCCTCCACTCCCCTCCCCTCTGCTCTCTTCTTTCTCTCCTCTCTTCTTTCCTCCCATCCCCCCTTTCCTCTTGTTTTTTGAGACAGGGTTTCTCTGTGTAACAGCCCTAGCTGTCCTGGAACTCACTCTGTAGACCAGGCTGGCCATGAACTCAGATCTGCCTGCCTCTGCCTCCCAAGTGCTGGGATTAAAGGCGTGCGCTGCCACCACCACTTGACAAAAGATTTATTTTGTGTATGTGAGTGCTCTGTTTGCATATCTGGCCTTATGCCAGAAGAGGGCATCAGATTCTACTATAGATGGTTGTGCGCCATCATGTGGTTGCTGGGAATTAAACTCAGGACCTCTGGAAGAGCAGCCAGTGCTCTTAACTCCTGAGCCATCTCTCCAGCCCTCAATGCCTGGTTTCTGTAGTACATGTAGATACCTGCTACAGAGGCTAGAAGAGGGCATTAGCAAACCTTGGAGCTGGAGTAAAGGTAGTTGTGAGCTGCACTATGTAGGTTCTGGAAAAAAAAAAACTCAGGTCCCCTGGAAGATCAGTCAGTGCTCTTAAGTGTTGAGCTACCTCTAGCCCTTTGTTATTTATTTATTCACTTAGTTATTTTAAATTTTTTTGAGACAGGGTCTCTACATAGCCCTGACTGTCCTAGAACTCACTCGTTCTGTAGACCAGGTTGGCCTAGAACTCACAGAAATCCTTCTACCTCTACCTCCCAAGTACTGGGATTAAAGGTGTGTATAATTTAATGTCCCTATTCATTCATGCATCCATATCCATTCATCTACCCATTGATTCCTTCCTATCTATCTGTCTGTCTGTCTGTCTATTTATTTATTTATTTATTTATTTATTTATTTATTTTTGAGACAGGGTTTGTCTATGTAACAGCCCTGGCTGTCCTGGAACTAGCTCTTGTAGACCAGGCTGTTCTCAAACTCACAGAGATTTGCCTGCCTCTGCTTTCCAGGTGCTGGGATTAAAAGTGCGCCACCACCGCCTGGCTCCTGGTTTACATTATTTAATATATTTTATTTATTTTGTGTTCATGGAAGCAATGTGGGCATATACTGTGGTACCCATGTGAAGGTCAGAGAACAATTTACTGGCATTGTTTCTATCCTTTGTTATAGGTTCTGAAGTTTGAACTCATGTCAGGCTTGATTGCAGGTATCTTTACCTGCTGAGCCATCTCTTTTGTGGTTTAAAATTTTATTGTCATCTTTGAAAAAGATTTGTTTTACTTTTTTTTCTTTTGTTTTTCAAGACGGGGTTTCCTTCTGTGTAGCCCTGGCTGTCCTAGAACTTACTCTGTGGGCTGGAGAGTTGGCTCAGCAGTTAAGAGCATTGCCTGCTCTTCCAAAGGTCCTGAGTTCAATTCCCAGCAACCCCATGGTGGCTCACAACCATCTGTAATGAGGTCTGGTCCCCTCTACTGGCCTGCAGGCATATATGTAGACAGAAAATTATATACAAAATAAATAAATATTTTTTTAAAAAAGAACTTACTCTGTAAAGTAGGCTCACCTTGAACTCAGAGATCTGCCTGTCTCTGCTTTCTGAGTGCTGAGATTAGGCTTATCTTACTTTTAAGTATGTATATAAAATCCCTTCAGAATTCAGAAGGTGTTAGATTCTCTGTAGCTGGACATTGTTGTTGGGAAGAGAACTCAGTTCTAAAAGAATATTAAGAGCTCTTAACTGCTGAGTCTCAACTATTAAATAATGTATTGTTATTTAATAATTTATTCTTATTAATTAATAATTAAAGGTTGGCATTTGGCAGCTGCTGAAATGATTCCCTGCCTTTGGGATTCAAGCTAGGCCTCATGCTTGGTAGGCAAGTACTGTGCCACCAAACCACATTAAACCCCCTCCCTCCTCCAATGCTTTAACAACAACAAGGATTTTACACGAGATAATCAAACCCTTGTCTTTTCCTTCAGAATCAGTCCTACATTTGCTGATGCTTACTCTAATATGGGAAACACTCTAAAGGAGATGCAGGATGTTCAGGGAGCCTTGCAGTGTTATACTCGTGCCATCCAGATTAATCCTGCCTTTGCAGATGCACACAGCAATCTGGCTTCCATTCACAAGGTAATGCTGCTTATTGTGACATGGGCACCTTAGCACTGAAGTTTCATTATAGGAAACTCCTTACAAGCTTGCTTTCTTTCCAGGATTCAGGGAATATCCCAGAAGCAATAGCTTCTTACCGCACAGCTCTGAAACTTAAGCCTGATTTTCCTGATGCCTATTGTAATTTGGCTCATTGCCTACAGGTAAGGAACAATAGTCTAGTGTTTTTCTTTCTGTATTGTTACCACTTTTTAATTTTTATGTGCCATAATAATGCAAGCCTGGCTGGAGATTGTTGTTTTTTAGCAAGTGGAGGTCAGAGGGCAGTTTTCAGGAGTCATTTCTCATAACACGTGGGTCCCAGGCATTAACTCCAATTGTCTGGCTTGCCTTTTATTCTTGTCCTTTATTCACTGAGCCAGCCCCAAGATCATATTTTTAGTAGGTAATCTAACACTTTTAGGAAGTCAAATATTTGCAAAATAAATCCTTTGGTAGGTTTTCTGGGTGATCATTTCTTTTTGCTTCCTCTAGATTGTCTGTGATTGGACAGACTATGATGAGCGAATGAAGAAATTGGTTAGTATTGTAGCTGAGCAGCTAGAGAAGAATAGGCTGCCTTCTGTGCATCCTCATCACAGCATGCTGTACCCTCTTTCTCATGGCTTCAGGAAGGCTATTGCAGAGAGGCATGGGAATCTCTGCTTGGATAAGGTGACTTGTCCTTTCATTTTTTTCTGTTATAAACTCAAATGCAAATAAATAAAAACATTGTACAAATCAAACGTACAGTATGGTTTTGCCAATCAGCATGTGGTCAACATCACCCAAGTTAAGAAATAAAGCTTTCTTAGCTATTCCAGAAGTCACTTTCTAATGTGTCCTGTCTTCAACTGAACTCCCTTCAATCCAAAGGATGGGGACTTTTATTTCTTCTTTTTCCCCCTGAAATAGGGTTTCTCTGTAGCTTTGAAGCTTGTCCTGGAACTATCTCTGTAGACCAGGTTGGTCTTGAACTCACAGAGATCCGCCTGCCTCTGCTTCCCAAGCGCTGGGATTAAAGGCATGTATCACCACTGCCTGGAGAGACTTTTCATTTCAAACTCTGAACAAGTTTAATAGTGGTATTTTTCTTAAGGTGAAACTCACAGCTACACATGATGATGCAAACCTATAATTCCAGTTGAGATTATAAATCTATAATCTCAACAAAAACCTCCACCTAATACGAACATCTAAAAACCAAACTAAACGCAACAACAACAAAAGCCCCAATAGGGTTTAAATACAGAGTGTATGGTATTATATACTCAACTTTCAGAATTAGAATATGAATTGATAGAGTTTGGGGTCTGTTTTAGGAAACAGTGGTAAATTAAGATTTCTTTTTGTAAATATTTATTTATTTATTATGTATACAGTATTCTGTCTGCGTGTATGCCCACATGCCAGAAGAGGGCACCAGACCTCATTACAGATGGTTGTGAGCCACCATGTGGTTGCTGGGAATTAAACTCGGGACCTTTGGAAGAGCATGCAATGCTCTTAACCGCTGAGCCATCTCGCCAGCCCTCCTCTTCCTCCTCCTCCTCCTCCTCCTCCTCCTCCTCCTCCTCCTCCTTTTTAAATACAAAAATGCTTCTTTGTCGAATTTCCTAAAATAATCATACTCTATCCATATTTCATGTTGGAGTCTGTTCAGGCATATTTTCTACACTTCAGGTCAGATATGAAGCATGAGCACTATGCAGCCACCATACACAGCTGTTTACCTTCGAAGGCGCCATTAAACTGGCCACATAAGTGAAGTTTGCTGTCTAAAGTTTTTGGTTTTTCGAGACAGGGTTTCTCTGTAGCTTTGGAGCCTATCCTGGAACTAGCTCTTGTAGACCAGGCTGGCCTTGAACTCACAGAGATCCGCCTGCCTCTGCCCCCCGAGTGCTGGGACTAAAGGTGTGTGCCACCACTGCCCGGCCACTAAAGTTTTTTCATAATTATGGGTCTATATGATTTTAGATTCTACTTTCATTTATTTCACTTAAATTTTTTTTTTTTGAGGCAGGTCTTATGTATATCAGGTTGGCCTTAAAACTCTCTATGTAGCTGGGGATTACCTTGAACTTCTGATCCCTTTTGCTTCCACCTCCCAATTGCAGGGGTCACAAGAGTGCACCAACATGTCCATTTATTTTTTGTTGTTTGTTCTGTTTTGATCACTATGTCAGACTGGCTTTCCTGTAACTCAGTGCATAGACCAGGCTGACTTCAAACTCAGCCTTCAAACTATGCCTCACCTCCTAATGATTGGGATCAATGATGGTACTATCATGCCTGTTCTTTATGTAGTTCTGGGGACAGAACCCTTAGGGCATTATACACGCTAGTCAAAACACACTACTAATCACAAGTCCCTGTTATCGGTTTTTTTTCTTTTAGATAAAAATTTGCACATGACTTGACTTTGTTAACGACCATTGTATTCTGTTGGTAGATTAATGTCCTTCATAAACCACCATATGAGCATCCAAAAGACTTGAAGCTCAGTGATGGCCGGTTGCGTGTAGGGTATGTGAGTTCTGACTTTGGGAATCACCCTACTTCTCACCTTATGCAGTCTATTCCAGGCATGCACAATCCTGATAAATTTGAGGTAAGAGTAGGTTCTGGTGACTTTCTTCTGTCATCTTTGATGTTAAGCCCAGTGTTTTGAGAGGCTTGGAGCCAAGGTTATTAAGTATGCCCTCCTCTGTCTTTTAGGTGTTCTGTTATGCCCTGAGCCCAGATGACGGTACAAACTTCCGAGTGAAGGTCATGGCAGAAGCCAATCATTTCATTGATCTTTCTCAGGTAGGCAAAACACAGATCCTTTTCTTCAGATTTTAAGATTTCATAATTAAGTATATGTGTTTGGTATGGTATGTGGGGATGTGCCTGTATGAAGACAGGTGCCCAAGGAGGCCAGAAGAGAGGGTGTCAGATCGCCCAGACATGGAGTTACAGGGTGTCACATGGGTGCTGGAGCAAATGCAGGTCCTCTGCAAGCACAGCAAGTGCCTTTATGTTTTAAATTTTGAGTAAATTTGAAAAAGAAAAACCCTTTTGGTACAAAGTGGGTTTTTTTTGTATTAGGAGTTGAATGGAGGGTCTCATGTTTGTAGTTTTTGATGATGGGTATTAAAAGGAGTAACTACTGTATTTGGGCAATTTGCCCTTGTTTCCTTGGTCATTTACATTTTTATTTGGCATGACTTTTAAGTTGTACATAAAATAGAAATGTGATATAACTCTGTTTGATATATAACTTTTCTAGATACTTTTAATACATACTGAACAAAATCAAGAAGGGTAAATGGCTAAATAGCTAGTTTAAGGACAGACTAGGCTATGTGAGACCGCCCCCATCTCATTTTTTTAAAGGAGGGGGCTGCAGCAAAAAGCCCATCTATTTTTGAGTTTTTGCATTTGTGTGTGTGTATGGTCTTTTTGTTTTATTCTTTTGTAATTCACAAAGTGGGCCTTGAACTTTTGTTAATCCTCCTGCTTCAGCCACCATACCCTACTGGTTGTTTGTCTTTGTTTCTATTTTTTTTCCTCTGTAAATTTTATGATGAGTCAAAGTTGAAACCTATGGGAGAATTAAATTTGCTATGGGTTCTGTTAGTCACATATTTAGACATGAATATGAATAAGTGTGTTTGCATGTAGACACACATCTAAATGTAAATAATGGGATTGGGGACATAGCTCAGTTGGTACAGGGCTTGTCTATTATACACAAAACTCTGGGTTTGATTCTTAGTACTGTATAAACTGGGTGTTGTGACTCATACCTATAATCTCACCATTTTGGAGGTGGAGACAGAGACAGAAGGATCAGGGTTAAAGGTCATCCTTGGCTACGTAGAGTTCAAGGTCTGCCTGGGCTAGAGACCCTGTTTCAAAAACAAGGCTAGGGATGGTGTAGCTCCTAGCAGGTAGATCTGAGTTTGAGGCCAGCCTGATATACTTAGCAGTTCCGGGCCAGGCAGAGCTACATAGGGAGACCCTGTTTCAAATAACCAATAAATAACTAACTGAATGAGTAAATAATAGACATTTTCTTAGATGGGTTGGGAGAGTTATCTCATTTAATAAAGTTTGCATACCAGTATCTTTTGTAGCATGGTTACTACTTCAAAAATATGTCTGGTCTGCTTTTGATTTTTGAGACAGAGTCTCACGGTACCCCAGGCTGGCCTTCTTACTGTGAGCAGTCTCATACACTTCTGGTACATACTAACTAGGGCAGTATTCTACCCAGTGAGCTGCATTTCCAGCTTTGATTTTTATTTTTCTGAGGCAAAACTTTAACTATGTGATCAGAACTGCCTGTAAACTCCCAGTGTAGCCTAGGCTAGCCTTGAACTCAGCCTTCTTAGTGCTAGAATTGCAAATGAGAGATATCTTGAACGACTCTTCCCTCATCTATCTGCCTGCCTATCTATCTATCTATCTATCTATCTATCTATCTATCTAGCCATCTATTGATTGATTTGGCAGGCTCACTATGTGTTCCTGGTTCGTTTGGGACTATCTGTGTAGACCTCTGAAACTGTCCTGGAATTTACAGAGATCCTTGGGATTAAAGGAGTGAGCCACCACGACCTGGCTTTGAATGTTTTTGATAGATTTATCTTTATGTGTGTTATGTTTGTTTATATGTGCACCATATATGTACATTATGTTTGTGCCTGGTGCTTTTGGAGGTCAAAAGGAGTTGGATGCCCTGGAGTTACAAATGGTTGTTAACCATGTAGGTGCTGAGTTCTACATGTAGTCAGTCCTTCAGTGCTCTTGAGCACTAAGCCATCTCTCTAGCCCTGTACCCCTTTTTTGCTATAGGGTCTCACTAGGTAGTCAATCTAGTCTTCAGATGCTAGGATTATAGGCACCTGTCGCTGTATTTTTTTCCATTTTTGGCATGTGTGTATGTGTATTGTGATTAGTGTACATGTAGGTGTACTTGCAGGTTCATATGTTGCTCAGAGTAGGATGTTGGATATCTTTGGCTTCTTTTCTCTTTCTTTCTTTCTTTCTTTTTCTTTCTTTCTTTCTTTCTTTCTTTCCTCCTCCTCCTCCTCCTCCTCCTCCTCCTCCTCCTCCTCCTCCTCGTCTTCTTCTTCTTCTTTTTTTCTGAGACAGGGTATCTTCATAGCCCTGGCTGGCTGTTCTGAAGGTCAGCTAAACTCACTGTGTAGATTGGCCTCCAAGTAAGCTCTCTCTGCCTCCCAGATTGTGGGATTAAAGGTGTGTGCCTTCCTACCCAGCCAACTGTGGAGATCTTGCTCCTCCACTCTTGGCCTTATTTTCTCAAGACTGAAACTGACTCATCTTCCTGTCTCCAACCCCCACAGACCTGAGCTGAGGTTCCAGGTGCACATGTGTGGTCATATGTGGCTTTTTATGTGGGTGCTGGAATCCAGACTTAGGTCCTCTTACTCACTGAGTCATCTCTCATCTTATTTATACTGTTTCTCATTGAGATTATAGAGTATCAAACATCTAGTAATTGTTGTGATTGATTTGAGACAGAATCTGTTTAGCTCTGGCTAGTGGAAACTCATGATTTTGTCTCAGGTTTCCTGAATCCTTGCCTTCAAGTCTTGTAACAAATATGCTTAGCCTCTTGTTCATCTTTGAAGGCCCATTTAAAATACTCGCTCCCTTCTGTAACCCTGTTACTAATCCATCCAATTTAGAAGGAAAGTCTGCTTCCTTTATTGTTGAGACAGGGTCTCATGTAGCTGATGTTGTTGTTTAACTGATCTTTCTACTTCTACCTCCCAAGTGCTGGGATTATGAGAGTGAGCCACTATACCCAGTTTATTCACCTCTTTTGCATCTAGGTCTGAATTCTGTTTAATCCTATTAAAACCAATCGAATTAATCTTGAGATTCTACATAGTTCTTACTGTTTATCCTGTAGATTCCATGCAATGGAAAAGCAGCTGACCGCATTCACCAAGATGGAATTCACATCCTTGTAAATATGAATGGGTATACCAAGGGGGCTCGAAATGAGCTCTTTGCTCTCAGGCCAGCTCCTATTCAGGTAAGAGAATAATCATTCACAATGTTTATTGTACTAAAAAGACAGTGGTTTTTGGTTTTCTTCCATCTGGCTAACTACCCTTGAAAACAACAGGATAGACATTCTTGAGTGTTCTTGTATGTACTAGGATAGTTTTTTGGGTGTAGACCCAGTGCCCACAGGTAAAATGTCAATGGAGACTAGCATTTCATGGTTTTATAATAAATAGCTCCTTTGTCTAATATATTTGAAGAACACCTTACCACTTACAGGGTTAGTCTGAAAAGCTGCTGGATTGCTCTTGGCCAAAGAAGTCAGCCTCCTTTATATATGTACATAAGTGATTTGGGAGCCTTTAGATGAAGATCCTCTTTTGAAAAACTGGAATAATTTGGTAGGTTTACAGATGGATAAAAGTTCTTAGTTTTCGGTCTGATTGTTTTTTAGGCAATGTGGCTGGGATACCCTGGGACTAGTGGTGCACTGTTTATGGATTATATCATCACTGATCAGGAAACTTCCCCAGCTGAAGTTGCAGAACAGTATTCTGAGAAACTGGCTTACATGCCTCATACTTTTTTTATTGGTGATCATGCTAATATGTTCCCTCACCTGAAGGTAGGCAGAAAATAATGCTATGGGGTTAATTCATTTTTTCCCCTTGGATTGTCCATATGCACCCTGACAGGCATGTCAACTTTTCTTCCATTAGAAAAAAGTAGTCATCGATTTTAAATCCAATGGGCACATTTACGACAATCGGATAGTTCTGAATGGCATCGATCTCAAAGCATTTCTTGATAGTCTACCAGATGTGAAGATTGTCAAGGTCAGAACCCAGTCGGCATTTGTTACTGAAATGAACTAAATTTGTTAATTTTTTCTTATAATGCATTTCTGTTTGGATTTTGTTTTCAGATGAAATGTCCTGATGGAGGTGACAATGTAGACAGCAGTAACACAGCTCTTAATATGCCTGTCATTCCCATGAATACAATTGCAGAAGCAGTTATTGAAATGATTAACAGAGGACAGATTCAGATAACAATTAATGGATTCAGTATTAGCAATGGACTGGCAACTACACAGGTGGGAAAGACCTTAACTATGTGCCACCATCCATACATCATTTCCTTGAAGCCTTATAACCACTCTATTCTACAGAGGAGGAAATAAGCTTCTTGGAAACTTGCTCTTGTAGCTGTGTCTGGTCTTGAAAGTCATTCGGCTTCAACCATCAGGCTCCTTAGTGAGTGCCTACTGTGCTAATGCTTGTTTTTGCCTGTCTGTGCCTTTATTCTCTTACCTCTAGGCACCATATGGTTGCTTGCTTCTGTAAACTCACCCTTTTCCTGGCCAAATCCTGCCTCGCCTTTCAGTTCAGATAGTTCTTATGGGAACCAGTTACTGAACTGATCTTTTGCCTCTCTTTCCATACTCATTGGTACTTGTCTCCTGTGCTTCTGTTGTTTTTGGGGTATATTGTTACATTCAGCATAGTGCAGTGTAATGTTTGTATTTGTATCCTTCAGCAAATGGAATTACTTTAGAACTCATGTCTTAGCCCCAATAATATAGTATGCATTCAGAGAGAGAGAGAGAGAGAGAGAGAGAGAGAGAGAGAGAGAGAGAGAGAGATGCATACTGGAAGAGGCAAATACATAGGGCAGGAATCTTAGACTTCTTAGGTGCTGACAACATTATTGAGATGTCCATACTCATGTAACAGCATAAGGCAGTCTTCGACAAGTATGGGATTTGCAAATAAAACTGTAGTTGAAGGACTTGACCATCAGTGTAAGGGGGAGTCTTGAGTCTTGGGGAGAAGAGACCCTTTGGGGAGGAGTAATTGAAATTTGCCTTGGAGAGAGGATATGATTTGGAGAAGAGCATTTATTTCATCCATGAAGAACAGAGTAAAAAAAAAGCAGAAGCTTTACTGTTGGTTATGGGGTTTTTAGTACTTGTTGTTGTTGTTGTTGTTGTTTTATGAGACAAGAGTTTTTCTTTGGAGCCCTGGCTGTCCTGGAACTCTATAGAATAAACTGACCCTGGGCTGAGAAATTTACCTGCCTCTGCCTTCTAAGTGCTGGCATTAAAGGCTACCACCACTAGCCATGAAACAGGATCTGGCTATGTAACCCAGGCTGTTCTCAAACTTGGCAGCGCCCCCCCCCCCTTTTTTTTGGTTTTTCAAGACAGGGTTTCTGCATAGTTTTTGGAGCCTGTCCTAGAACTAGCTTGTGTAGACCAGGCTGGCCTCGAACTCACAGAGATCTGCCTGCTCTGCTTCCTGAGTGCTGGGATTAAAGGTGTGCTCCACCACTGCCCGGCCTGGCCTCTTTTCATAGGGCAGTTACTCTTAAGTCAAAGTAATGGTGTAACTTTTTATGTCTTAAAAGTAAACTATAGGGCTGGAGAGATGGCTCAGTGGTTAAGAGCACCGCCTACTTGTCTAAAGGTCCCTAAGTTCAATTCCCAGCAACAACATAATGGCTTACAATCATCTGTAATGAAAATCTGGTGCCCCCTTCTGGTCTGCAGGCATACATGTAGGCAGAATACTGTATACACAATAAGTAAGTAAATAAATAAATAAATAAATCTTTTTTTAAAAAAGTAAAACTATATAAAAATATTTTCTCATTACAGTTCAGGGGACAGAAGTTAAAATCTTTATACCATTTTATATATTTTGAATTGATTCTTTTCTAAAAAAATATTTTATGTGTATCGATATTGCCTGAACATATGTCTGTACTATGTGCGTGCCTT